AACTGTACTTTAATGAAGATGATAATATATACATAGTTACAATCACATATACAACATTATATATTTACAATCACATAGTATGTACTCGCATTATATGCAATATCAACCTTGTCATACTTCAGCTAAAAAGAAAAAAAAATCTAAAATATTAAATAGCATGATCACTATCAACTCGCATTAAAGATATCAATATGATTATGTCAAGTTTCGACGGTAATTGTTCCAAATTTCAATATAGTTCATGTAGAACATGTAGTTGAAGAATTTCACATCATTTGCTCAATAATCTGTATTTTATACAAAATTATATAATCATGACTAGTATATCACAATAGAATTTAATATAGAGTAAGAATTTAATATATCTTTCATTTTGTTTTTTTCTTATGGACAACTAAAATGATTAAAAAGATTGTTTATCAAATTTCTCAAATAAAAAATTCAAAAATAATCATTTTAAAAAAATACTTTTCATTAAAAGATATAAATTTTTATACTTTTTGTACAATCTATGCTTATATATACATATATATATACACACAAATTATAAAACCTTTATGATGAAAAGAAGCAATAGCTTCAAATCAATATAAACTTATTATACTTTCATTTCCATTTTATGCAATTGAAAGATAAATAGTCTAATTAATCACTATTAAATATTTTTATTGCACTTTGTTCATTTTAAATAGTATTTCACTCATCTTTGGTATAATTTTCTGTATATAACGAGAAGGCCATTTGTTTGACCTAGTTTATTTATTCATAGAAAACTCTGTTTTAGTCTTATTTAATATATTATCATATGCTGTTTATGCAGAAAATTATGAAATAAAAATAAATAATATCTGCATATGTATATATACATATATATGTATATATTACTCTTTATAAACGGTATTTCGCATGCATCTTTCATGGAGTACTTTTTAATGTAATTAGACAATCCAACATTTTTTAAAAATATCAATATCCAAAGATATTTTATAGAATAATTAAAATAATAAGAGTTAGTCTTATTAGTTATCATCAAAATGTTTTTTCCAAATTATACTTGGATGATTAATAATAAGGTAATTGGCATTGGAACGGAACTGATTTGTGGTTAGATTGTCTAAATCTATGTATGATAATTATTCAAATATATTAATTATGATTTGCATACATATCCTGACAACTACAAGGTACTTAGTGATAAATATTATCTATATCTCATTATATTATCTCATTATTAGAGTCAAGGAAAGATTCACTGAAAATGTTTTGCTGAACCTTGGCAGATGAACATTATTACAATTATATTAAAGCTTGGTAAGTGGAATAGCATGCTTGTCAAAGCTGCCAATTTTCTATTTAGAATTATATTATCTTACTTAAATAATTTTATTTAGCAGAAGATTATAATTATTACACCTTAATTTTCGACTGGCATTTGCTCTTGCATACTTGGCAATATAAAAAATGAATTGCTTATGTAGTTGTACTCTTAACGCAGAAAGACAAAAGATTTTCTAGTCGGTGGATCTTTGATGGAAAAATTATTTCTTCCTCTCATATTCTCTCTCTCTCTCTCTCTCTCTCTCACTTACTCACTCACTCACTCACTCACTCACTCACTTTCTCCCTCTTATAATTACTCTACTATGAAAATAAATGAAAATATTTTTAATACATAAGCATTTAAAACTTGTTAGATATTGCTTCTTTTACTGATTAAATATTGCATAAAACAATAACTAAAACTAAATAATGATATATGATATTTAAAACTTCTATAAACGTCATATATGTACAATCGTATATAATTTGAGTGAAATGTTATATATAACAATTTAATGGAGCAATTCGAATTGTGATGATTCTTTCAAATACGAGAAAAAGATCCATGCTCGAAAATTAATTTTTTCTAGTATATATGCGTAATAAAAGTGCAGGAACTAATTACACGCTAATTTTCATAATAAATAAAGCCTTATTATGGCTTAATTAATTCGTTTCTTTATCATTTTGAACATTTTTTATGGTTCTTTTTTCAACTCGATTAAATCAGTAACGTCAAGAAAAGGAGTGCTATTGTTGTTGTTGCAATTGTTGTAATAATGGACATACTTCAACTAAAGGTGTCCCTAAAATTTCTTGACATACTTGATTCATGTCAGGTTCCATCATGAGCGAAGAAATCTGATCCTCAGTTAACATTTCCACACTATTTTTTATACAATGGAATTAATAAAAATAAAGATTCATATAATAAAAAATTTACAAAGCGATACGCACCTTGCTAAGCTTTCACTATCGGATGTTTCTTCGTCGGCATTAAGATAGGTCATTGTTTTTTCTAACGGACTAGGAACTTTCTTTCCTTTTCCTTCTATTTTCTCAAACTTCTCACATTTTTCCTTGTCTTTCTCTGTTATCTTTGGTTCGTTAGAACGTCGTTCTGTAAGGCTAGATATGTTCAACATCATCATTCCGTGATTAAGGAATTCTTTTACCCGTTCTCCCGTGCCAGCGCTCCATAACATATCAAGAGACTGTCTTCTACTCGAGCTTGCTATAGCAATTAATTAATATAAATTGGTATCTAGGTTTATAGATGCATTATATTTTTAAAAATATATAGTCAAATATACTTACTTGAACTGCCTCCACTAGCTTCACCGCCAGCTGAACTTCTGGTTATCCAATTAGCTAAACTACTATCGAGTTTGCTTTTACTTTTTACTGATGGACTCCTCGTTACTTCCGCTTTTTTTTCACTGCTTAAACTAACTTCGTTTCCTTTCGGCATAGTAGGTAATGACTTTTGTGTTACTAATTTTTTTTGACTAGCTGTTTCATTGAATAATTGAATATTTGCACCGTTGGTAGGTGGATTGTTACTTTCAGGACTTAAATCCATTGGTAACGGCTTATAAGGAATTTGATCTTCTTCGTCCGAGTATACTTCATTATTGTAATATACTTCATCTGGAGAATTATTTAAGCTAATTTCTGTCCATTCTTCTCCATTTTGTACAGTGGTATTAGTGTTCTTTGAATCTACCGGTGTTTGTATTTTCACTCGTTTCTCTATTGGAGAAAGAATATTCGATAAGTCTGACAATCGTGAGGTTGAAGAGCTTGTTTGATTTAGTGTTATGATATGTTTTGTATCAGTTGCTGCAATGCTTTTTGGACGGTCTCGCTTTATATATTTCCGCGGTTCTGTCGATGAAAGATTCAAGTTACTTAGGCCCAAATATTCGGAAGAAGGTTCTCTATTGATCTGGATAAAAATACAATAAAATTTATTAATATATTTATAAAGTCATGCATATCCTGATATGATAAAATATAATTACTCTTGCAGGGACAGGACATTGTGTACTAGGACTCAGCTTATCAGGAAGGCGTAAGTATTCGTCACTGGTATAATCTGTACTGTCAGGTGATCCAGTAACACTAGAATCAGTCGGAGTTCCTGCATTTGGTTGTAGAGAAGGTTGGTCAATGGTATCCCGAGATTTATCAAAATCATCCACTCCATCATACTTTCTAGTCTGTAAGTAAGAAATAACAATAATTTATTTTGTGTTAAAAAAAATGGGTTTAAAAGAAATGAGAAAACAACTGTACCCTGTGGATTTCATCACTGATTTTTTCTAAATTTCTCAATGCTTCAGCATAAGTCATTTTAGCTTCACCCACTGATCTTTCTAATGCACTTACTCTTAGCTTTTGCTCTTCCAGCATTTGATTAAAATGCGCTTTCATTTCATAATATGGTCTATATAACAAATCAGTTAATAATAAAGTTTAGAAAATGTGCATAGCATTTTAAAGAAAAGCTTATTATTTTTATTAAATTTTGTTTTGAATTACATGTAATAAGACATAGAGCATATATATATGAGTAAAGCAGAATGTTTCTATAAAAATGCTTATCTATGAAACATTTTATAAAAATATAATAATTTGTGCATAACTAGGGTGATAATTTAGAAAATAAATTGTTAAAATAGGGTTTATTCATAGCAAACACATAAAATAAATATCGTGTAAAAAAATAAAAAAATAATATCTATCCTACTTACAACATGAGCAAGTTGTGCCTGTAGGCGATACTGTTTATCAGAAGCAAGCTGCGACGTGCACCCATACTGCCAACATGAATATAAACCAAAAGACATAAATATTCTAATATCTATATAAAATTAACGTAAGATATTAAACAATAAAAACATAAATCACTAAATATTCGTATGGGAAGAAAATAAATAAAAATGTTAAGAATTATTGAACTATTAGATTTTAAAACTGAGGTATATATATTAAATAATTAAATGCAACACATCTCATGCATTATTAAGTAAATTAAAAAGTCGTTTAATATCACTTGCTAAATTGTAAGATAGGTGCACTAGGTACACACCTAGATTTAGCAATTGCACGTTTTAGTTCACGTTGCAATCTTTGAACTTCATGTTCTGCTTTATGATATAGAGCAGTAGTATGTCTATGTTCTGCTTCTGATAAAGCTCTTTCATGTTCAGATTCATTAACTCTGGCAGTTGCATGATTTAACATCTCCTACAATAATTTCCAACGTTATAAAATTTGGATTAAGAATTTTTTTATGGAAATTACCTGCCAAGCATGATCAAAACATCTTCCCTCTGTTCTTAATCCTTCTTCAGCTAGGTAAACCATCTCTTTTGCTGCTGCATGTTGACTATTTGCTCTTTCAAATCTAATTGCAGCCTTTTGTGTTTCATGTAAAGCCTTAAAGTATACGTTGAATTAACAATTATAGAATGTACAATGATAATATTAATTGAAAATATTTCTTACTTCTTTTGCTTTAAATCTGGCATCATAATATGGTCTAGATTTTTCTATGCATGTACCAAGCTTTTTAGCTAAGCTATCAATTTTTAATGTAGATTCACAAAGTAATTCTCTAAAAGTTGCTCTTGCTTCCTGAAAATAAAAGTTCATTGAATAATCAGTGGCTGAAATATAATCATGTTTTTGTACATCTTAATTCACTTTGATAAATTGGGTAGGAATGAGGTTTCAAGTCATAAAGTGTTTCTTTAGACCATGTTGTAAATGACTAAAAGATGATCTTTGAAGCCATTATCCATTTACTCGTACGCTTCATAGCAATCACCTCAATGAAATGTAATCACAACCAGTTTCAAGACTTACTACTAATTTGATCCCCCAAGAAGGCAAATAGTTATTTTAATTCGTTGTACAATCAAAAATTGTTTGTATAAGAAACACAAAACATGAATTATTCATATTATACTTACATCCAAATCAACTTCAAGTTTGTTGATATCATCAGTAGCAGTATTTAACCTTTCAAGTTCAATCTAAAACGATAATTATTTATAAAAAGATTAAATGCAACATTTTATAAAAATTTATAAAAATAAATAATAGTATTTAAAAATATGTAATAAAATATCATTAAAGTACATCTCTTGATTTGCAGATTGATTTAATAAAGTAAATGCGGCAAGTGATTAATCGAAAAGAAAAAGAATGAAACAAATATAGAGTATTTTATAATATCATAAAGAAAACTTATATTTATAGAAGGCTCGAACTTTTCGTAATAAATCCAACAATGTGAAGAATCTGAATAATTAAGGTTGGCTAAACCAGGGTATCGCTAAAAATTAGATCTAATTAAGTTTTTTTTCTTCTTAAAGCAACGTGGAAATGTCAATATCACAAGTATCTAGGTTTTAAAGCTTATAAATTATTCCCAGAAGAATGCATTGCTTTACCTGAACTCTAGGATCCACTGCATCATCAATACGATCAGAATCATCGCCACTTTCTTTTTGCACACGTCCACTCATAATTAAAGATAGTACTGAATTTTATTTACAATTTTTCATACCACCTGTATCGTCTGCTACATATCAGGTGGCCATGTTGAATGTTAGAACAACCAACAATACCGTCCACGTTAAAACGGTCAAGGGCACTTGTAAACCGTCTACTTTTCTTCTACAGTATTGCACAGTATTGATAAAAGTATTGCGATATTTCTTAAAAAATTATAATTAATCATCTGATACTTTACATGGGAAAAGCTAGAGGAAATGTTTTCAAAGCCACGCACAAAGAAAGAATTGTTCTCTTTAAAATCATTCTTCGATACGAGGCAATATAATAGAAAAGTACAAGTAAATATAACTACGAGGAATATATTTCAAGATGGAAAATGCATTATATATAATTTATTTTTAGAATAACAGCAGCAGTTTGACTTAACCAAGTTTAACTATACGAAATATGCCGCCATACAGTAACAAGCATGGCTACCGAAGTGATTAGACATGGCGGCAAATATGTATCTCACTACTAGAGGGAGCTATCTGCTCGGCAGACCCGCCTGACTCTTAAACAGATTTTTTCTCATTCGCATTGGTGAGTTCTGTGTTGTTGGAACAGGTGAATCACGTCCAGGGAAAGCGGACGACAGTGTAGAAACGTCAATCGCTGGAGTCGCACAATAATTCATCGTTGTCGGTGAGTGAAAACATTCAATTACACTGCGACCTCGCGGCCTAAAAAATGTTGGGTTCTTTTTAATTGTTTCATTGTGTTGCACTGGTATTTCCACGAAAAAGAAAAGAAAAAGGAAGGGAACCAAGCAAGGTGTTTTTAAACCAGAGACACGAGACTTTCTATTTCGGAATTTTTACGCGTTACGAGCGAATACGAGCAGTATAGGGAGAGGCAATTAATAGACGAGGATATATGAAGAAAAGATCTGCTCGTGATTAAGACAACGCTGGAAAATGCAACGTTCCTTTCAACAGAATCGCAATCGTAGATTGCGCGTATTTCTCGTAAAGAAAACATTTTTCCATTCCGTACTTTCTGTTTTTCACGTGACTCGCAATGTTTAAGATTTCAAACCGCATCGATTCGCGCTCCTTTGCCCCATGTATTACAACTATTCTGCGCATCTTATTTCAGCGATGCTTTTCGTTACATACTCTCTGCGACAGTTGGAAATGAAATATAAATAGGAATGTCTTCGGGAAATAAATATGTCTCTGTGATACATCATGATCATTGAAATTCTATTGTAATCGTTAAATTCGTAAGTTTTACATCCACTATGTCGATTTCACAAATATCAAAAGATGTTGATAGTTTAAAATGGTAAATATTGGAAACGGCTTCGACGGACAAATCAAAACTTCCGATGTCAGATAGCGAATTAACTCAAGGACAGAACGGGAATGATGCCCTGTGGATACCATGAAATGTCATAAAGACCTCTTGTAGCTTGTTCCGCCGTAGCCATGTCACAGTTAACTTGTTTTGTATTCGTACGGCGAAAATGTACTGATGTCACGGCAAACACACACGATACGTGCGTGCAGGTTTTCTGTTTTTCGCTGCAACTAATTCGACGAAGTGGTTGAGCCTGAAAGATCGTTTACCGTATTTATCATTTAATAAATACACGTATGCATATTTGCCGGGCGTAGATAACTTTTCATATCGCATGAACGCCTACTACCAACTCGTTCGAATCGTCACCGCTCCTCAACGAGATACTAATTTCCTGCTTTCGATCGATGTTGTTAACAATCCTCGTGCTTCACGTTCTCACGTAATTCGAAGGGAGCTTAATTCTCCGATCAGTGTGAAATTTACGAAGAGGTGGATGGAACTCGATTAATAATGAGTTTTAAAAGGATCACCCGGTGCATAGCCGGAAAGATTCGAGGTGCATCGTTTCGTAGAATAAGCCACTGAATGAAGCTTGCCTACCTGTCGTCCGGGGGAACTTCCTTTCGGAGGAACATTATCCCCCTTTTCATTGTGTCTTTTTCTTCAAATAGCCTACTAGATTTCCTTCTTTCTTCCTTCTTTACATTAACGAGTGGGAAGTATTTGATCACAATATTGTATACACAAAGGAACAAATTTTTTTTTTTATATTTTTGTCTTTAATGTTTTTATTATATGTCTCGGTGAGTCGAACATTAGCAAGTTGAACATTAGCAAACGCTCTAGCAAACATTTTTCTTCGGATGTATACGAAATTTGATTAGAAGTAATAGTCGGTCAACAGCAGCAATCTGCAAACGTGTAACTAATGTGGTCGTGAACTTACGTAAAAGGATTTATAAGCGAATACATACATACATACATACATACATACATACATACATACAGCTGTGCGATTACTGTACTTTTCGTATTTCTGTTAACTGTGTTTTGCAAAATCATACTTATCCTTTGATCTGAAAATTCCGGCCACCACTCCAAATAATCACGGCGTGAATCTTTCAAGAAAGTAGAGAGAAAAAAACCATCTTGCGTGCTCTGCAAGATGGAACAAACTGCTGCAGGTGATTTAGGCAATCTGTCTTTCAAAATAGAATGCAATTCTCTCTTTTGCTCTTCAATATTTATTTATCGATGTTTACTTTACAGATGAAATATTACTCGCGCCGATGTTTCTCTCTAGAACTGATCGAGACAAAGCTGATAATCTCAATCAAAAACAAAATCACATCTCAAAAGAGGCAATAGACCACAGAGGCAAAGAGTATTTGCGAGAGAAAACTTTCGACAATATAGCTAGCTACGGCACTGTGAGAAAGTCCACGGGGCAAGAGAACCGACGACGTTGTCGTTTTCGTTTCGCTTTGTCTCCACGTTCTACGCAACCACGAATCATGTTGATGTGCACGCTTGTGCTATTACAAATAAATGTGTGCATTATTTCTATTTAAGAGATGTTCCAATAATATCTCAGTGATCTGCGAGGATGTAGAACGCATTTGCTATTCTTGTCCAAGGAGAGCAGCACGATGTTTCTTTCCAAGCAGTCTTCGCTTAGTGCGCAAATAATTGTTTGCTGCGAGAAAACTCGTTAATGACTGCTCATCCGATGATCGTCTTATTCTAATACGCACAAGTTTCCAATTACACTGTGTCTCATGAGACGCATCTTGCCTCTGAATATTTATGCACACTTGAATACTGCAGCCTGGGCTACGTGTCTTGTATAATGATACTGCGGAAATGATTGTTGAATGCAGCACGTGGCCGATCCTACATACACCATCAGCTGGAAACTATATTTTCTCAATATTTCGTATACGTACAAAGATTCTTCTGAAACATTCTGAACCTTAATGATTTCACTTTTTCTAATTAATAAGGAAAGAAATTTCTTTCTTCGTTTGTTATTGGAGAGTTTGCTATGTAAAATCTCTGACGATGATGAGTTTAAGAAGCCAGTTTACGACCTGCCATGAGGCACGATGTTTGCGTAAAACTTGCGAAAAACAATAGGACAGAAGCTGCTGACGGTCAAGAGCATGGTCGAAGGAACCAACTGATTACACGCATGGTATATGGCATGGGAAGAACATGTAATTAATCTGTAGCCGTATTTTTACATATACATTTATGAGTGGAAAACTCACTGCGAAACACGTGTTGCGAGAAAGGTCATTCTTCTGAATAAAATGTGCTGCATTCTAGAATCGGAGCATTGCATCGCGTCGTCCGTTACAAACACGGAAATTGCATTTACAGCTTGACCATTAACGTGTTAATTACTCTCTCGATTGTTTTGAGATTTAGTACACACGCATTTGCAATTCTATTACAAACTGTAGTCACGCCTGTTCGGCCTGTAAAAAAAAAATTCAAGAAATTTTCAACTTTATTGAAACAAGAATGATTGAACACTCTCGAAGGTCTTTCATATGAGCAGCAACTGTCCTCGCAGAAATGCTCGTCTCTCTTTTCGATAGTCTTCGTTTAAATATTCGTTGACGCTGGAATTATATGCCATGAATCTATCAATTCCATTCTTTCCTCTTCCGCGATAATCTATACTGAATTGTGGACTTGCAACGTATACCCATTTAAATTATACGGATAGTTGAGTATTCCAGCTAAGGTTTTTGCAGCTTTTCAACAATTTTATGGGTGAATGCTTCGTAGGAATTGTAATTTTGTTAGAGAGAGAGAGAGAGAGAGAGAAGAATGTTTGCTGGTGTATAGATAGGCGTAATCGTTATTAATTATCGTTTGGATTCATGTTTCCTATTTATCAAAACTCCGCGAATATGTACCTTAATAGTTTCCTATTTGTCGTTTATCAGATGGGCGTACATTATTGAATGAATTCTGTTCATTTACCGATATATCGTATTAAATTCTAATTTCTCAGCATCACAATGGAAATTTATTTATTTATTTATTTTTTTCTTTTCTAAACTGAAACACATCTACTTTTTAAAGATTTAAAAATTTCTTTCTTTTACAGTTCTGAATTATCCTTCCTATCCCTTCCAATTGAACGGATTTCCCGGGCACGATATCAACGATATACAAGGAATATTTATGTGTTGTCACTAATATGTATGTCAAGCATAGTGAATTGAGATATACTTTCCCTGCTTTCGCGCGTGCCCACCGTCCAAGACGAGTTCACTAGCAATCGAGTATTGTCCGAGGTGGCTAGTAGTGAAACCGGAACTCGAGAAAGTTCCAAAAAGATCGATGCGTCGAGAAAATCGCCCCACCTGTATACATAGGAATCGTGTGAATGCTACTAGATGTACATATGCATTTATTGGACATTTATTGCTGATCGTGCGTTTGTCAACGCAGAAGCACGCGACGTGGAAATGATATTCGAGGATGGCAGATGATCAAAACAAAAGTTGTGTAATCATCCCTTAGCTATTTGCTTGTAGGTACGCATAATGAACGAGAAGATGTGCATGTATATGCAAAAAAAAAAAAAAAAAA